TAAACAAAATTAAAGGCAATATTAATGATGCAAACAGTAATAAATATTAATTAAACAAAATTAAAGGTGATATTAACAATGAAGACAACAATAAGAAAGACCCGATGGAAGTAGATACAAGATCCGCAGCACAGGCAGCACTGGGCTGAGCTTCTGGAAACCAATCCAGAAGGGAGGGTGATAATATGAGCAAAGAAGTCAAGACTATGATGAGGAAACCCACAGAAACAGCTGGTCAGAGCTCACTGCCTCTGGATTAATATTGGGGGGACCCTCATAGGACCAAACTAGGCCCACTGAATATGGGGGACAGTTGTGAGTGTGGTGCCCAGATTACGACCCTAGAGAGAGACCACCAGAGAGGCCCAGACTGTAATAAGCAAGGTTTAATCAGCATAATACAAACATTTTTGGAGCCCCTGTCTCCAAATGACCCCCTTGCAGCAAGGTAGAGAGAGGAGTTGTATCTCCTCTGTGGGGTAAGCTTTTAAAGGCTTAACTACAAAGAGGTCTTTTGAAGTTGCTTTGGCATGGGTGCAAGGACCTTTGCTCCCTCCCAATTTGCTAAATCAGCTTTTTTCTTGTTCTTAGAACAAGGCCACTGTTCCTGAGTTAGGCCATCTTTATCAGCCTGTACCAGGAGTCTGGCTGGGCTAAGCTAAGTGACCTTGTGCTCGGAATCTCCTGGGTGGGAGAGGGGAAGGCCACCATCTTCCTGGGAAAACATTATTTTGTCTAGGCAAAAGTGATGCAATCAATTCTCCAAGGTCCTACTGTTTGTCCACAGTCTGGGCTGGGTCCTGGCAGCAGGTCGTAGCATCTTGCCCAGCGGTCAGCATTGTTGTTATCCATGTGGAGACATTGTGGTGTCCCATAGTCTTCTTTGGAGACCTTGGGTCACTGTTAGGATCTGGGAGTCTCTGTCTGATACAAGCTTTTTAAACATTATTTTAAATACCATTTTCTATATTTAGGGATGTCCAGGTATTATTTGTTTTAAGCTTTAAAACATATATTTAGGGGACTAAATAAGGCCTATCCCTGTACTTACATCAGTACTTTAAGGATGACTGATTATTAACTTGTATTTTTAACAAACCAAAACCATATACCATATTTTTGTCAGGTTGAACCTTTAAATTAAGGATTTAGGCAGACAATGAAGCTAAAATCTAAACATTAACAATATGAAACATTTTATAAGCATATATGTTTTATAACCTATTTTATTGTAGCTGATGCTTTTGGGGACTATTACCTGGCATTGGTGCTTTTTCTTGTAACTGTTGTTTCTTTGGGCATCTAGTCTCAGCTATTCCCAGTAGTAACTGACATTCTTGTGTATCAATAAAGAACGGCATAAAACTGTTTTTAACATTATCTATATCAAAAAGACATTTAAACTTTTGTGAACCCAAATCTAATGACCAGAGCTCAGAGAAAAATTACAAGTACAAAACTTATAATTACCAAAGGTTAATTTTTTTTAACAAAACAAGCATATATAATTGTTTAAGGAAATAAGCATGACAAACAAAACTTTTTAAAACCAGAATTAACCATTAAACATTTAGGTACAAGAAATTACAGCAAACATCTTTTGGCCTTTTACAACCTTTTTTTATACCTTTTGCGACATTTTATATACCTTTTGCAAGTTTTAGGTCTCTCTCTCTCTCTCTCTTTTTCGCTGTTTTATTGTTTAAGCCAGACATTTTTAGACAAACTTTTTTATTTATTATTATTTTAGTCTTTTGCCTTTTTTTGCTTTTTAGACAATATGTAAATTTTATTAAAGTTTTTTCTTGTGATTTTTATCTAGCAGAACATTACATAAAACAATAGCAGAAATATGTATCTTAACCAAAGGTGATAAATTTGTAACCCATATGTTTTTCTTCCTGTGGAAACAAAAGCATTCCCAAACATAATGCATCTTTGACTTTACTTTAAAATTAATGCTTTTTAAAGTTACAGGTTGGTACAATTTAAAATTTCTTATAAGTTGTATCACGGCAGAAAAGGGTTAATATGGGAAACTGCTGGCCAGCAGAAGAGACCTTGAGTGTTATCATATTGAAGAACTTGGCTCAGAAAAGAAGAGGGGGCAGCAGCAGTGGGCATAGTGTCCTTGGTTGCCAATGTTTCTAAAAAACGTTTTTTTGTTGACTTTTTTTCCCCATGATCTCAGATTTTTTGTTTTTTATTTGCCCAGTTTCTTAATTGCATGTGGTCAATTTCCCGTCACCCCAGCGCAGGTCCCTCTCTCCTGCCCAAGGCACAGACCCTCAGGATACAGAGAGAACAAGGGAGACGGGGCAGCCCTGTTTTGCTCCAACCGGCCTCTCTCAGGCACTAGCTCTACTGCCTGCCTTCTGAAGAGGCATCCGTCTGCCCTCAGCTGGGTGCACTGAGACTTTGCCACCTGCTCCATCCCAGGTGTCCCTGCTCCCTGGCCTCAGGGCCCCGCAGGCCCCACCCAGATCCTCTGCCACATTGCAATATCCCGCAGTCTCAAGGTTTAGTTCTCAGCACCCAAGCAGTGTGTTCCCTGCCATCAGACCTGGCTCAGGGCTAGGGACACAGACCCTAGATGGCCTGCTGCCAAGTCACCTGCATTCTCACATTTAAGTTTTGTCCCATTTTTTTTTTTTTTTTTTTTTAGTCCTTGTCAGTCCAGTCTTAAACATAATATACAGGAGACAACAGTTTCCTGGAACTTTAGGGGATCACCATCTGCCCAATGTAGTGGCTCCTAAAGACATTCCAAGTCAAAGGCACGCACTCCCTACTCTCTCAGTCCCCAGTTCCCTAAAGCCTGGGGGAAAGAGGCTGGGGCTCCATAGGGGCCCTAGGATGTTCGAGGATGGAAGTCAAGAGAGAAAGAAAACAAAGCAGCAATCACCATAACATAACACAAAGAGGCTGACAAATTTCCGGAATGAGACATATAGTGACATTTTCTCCCAAGGTGGGAAAAACCCAAACAGCTGTCTCCGAGGTAGCTACAAATGATCCTGTCTACTGACGTGGGACTGGAAGAATTCCCATCCCTGTCTGTTGTGACCTGGGGCCAATAAGGACCCTGTCTGGAAATGACCCAGGACTGGGAGAATTCCCATCTCTGTCTGGAAATGACCCGGGGCCAGCAAAGCCCCTGTCTGGAAATGATCCATCACTGTCTGAAAAGGAAAGACAAGGCGTCCCTTGCTTCTCCAGGGTCTCTCTGTACAAGCGCATCCAGTTCAGGGAACATCTGTCAATACCAAAATCCCAAATCAGTCGACAGGTACAACACCAAAGCAGCCACAGTCAGACAGACAAGACAAAATGACAGAGACAGAGACAAGAGACAAAAGACAAAGAGTGCTCTCTCACCGGTAGATGCTAATAAACCTCCGGGCTTCCATCATCCTGCTGGAATCTCTGTGGTTCCGGGCCAATACACCAAATGTTGTGTCCAGATTATGACCCCCAGAGTGAGATCACCAGAGAGGCCCAGACTGTAATAAGCAAGGTTTAATCAGCATCATACAAACATGTTTGAAACCCCTATCTCCAAATGACCCCTTGCAGCAAGGTAGAGAGAGGAGTTGTATCTCCTCTGTGGGGTAAGCTTTTAAAGGCTTAACTACAAAGAGGCTTTTTTGAAGATGCTTTGGCATGGTGCAAGGACTTTGCTCCCTCCCATTTTGCTAAGTCAGCTTTTTCCTTGTTCTTAGAGCAAGGCCACTGTTCTTGAGTTAGGTCATCTTTATCAGCCTGTACCAGGTGGCTGGCTGGGCTGAGCTAAGTGACCTTGTGCTCAGAATCTCTCCTGGGTGGGAGAGGGGAAGGCCACTATCTTCCTGGGAAAACATTCTGCTAGGAAATTTCTTCTCGCTCCTTTGAGAATAAGGGGTGAGGGTCCTACAGTGAGGATTGGGCAGTCTGTGGGGTCATTGGTAGTGGGACCAGGATTTATCCCTCGTGTTCATATTGGCATCTTGGAGCATATTCTCTTTGGAGGGTACCTAGGTCAGCCTAGATATGGGGGAAGGACCTTGGTCCTGCCTCAAAGTGATGTTTCAGACTTTGTTTACTTCCCATGGGAATCCTTACCCTTTCTGAGGAGTGGGTGGGGGGTGCGTTGGGGGAAAGAGTTGGGCAGAGAGTGGGAACGGAGATAGCTATGCAAAATGAGAAAAGATTGTATTCAAAAAAGAATTTAACATAATTAAAGGAGACATTAACAATAGAACGATAATAAAGATTTAAACAAAAATAAAGGTGATATTAACAATGAAAACAGCAATAAAATGAATTAAACAAAATTAAAGGTGATATTAACAATGGAAACAACAATAAAAAAGAAACAGAATAAAAGGAGATTTTTTTCTCTAAGGAGGGGAAGGACAGCTTATGTGGGGAGCTGGTTCAGGGTAGAACTCAGCAGGTATTTCTAGTACCTATGAAATTACCAGGCACGAAAACAGATCACAAGACACACAACGGAACCCACTTTAAGAGTTTATTGAGAGAGAGAAAGACACGTGCGTGGGCGTGAGGAAGTTGGTGCACGGAGAGTGTGGAGTGGGCGTGTCCAGCTTTTAAAGGCTGCCTAGCACACGTGCCCAGGTGCTCATGTAGCTGTGTCATGCGGAGATCACATGACCACACTGCACATAGATCACATATAGCTTGAAGCCCTGGGTGGCTATGTAAGTCGCCTGATCGCTTGATGGCACATGTGAGGCCCTGGAAACCGGAAGTGTCAACGCTTGGGGTAGCTAGACTTCTTGCCCAAGCACTGGAAATGACAAACACCTAACTAAATGTCAACATCAGGAAGAGGGGAAGCTGGCTCTGGGTCACCTAATTGCACTGCAGCAGCTGGAAATACGTGTCTGGCAGTGGGGGCATCTGCAGCCACATCTAGTGTATTGGATGATGCTGGCAGAGGCTGATCTAAATTCAGAAGTTGTACAAATCCCGCTTCTGGCACAATTGGTCCCCAAACTGCAGGATTCTCTAGGGGTTTCAGATCTCCCAGTGGCCCTGCCATGGAAGCCGGTCTCAGAGGCAGCGTCTTTGGCACCCCTGAGGCATCCAGCACTGTGGCTTCTGGTGTTGTTGCCCGGATGATGCCGCAATCTAAGACAGAAAGAGATGGGCCACTAGTGGAGGTGTCCTGGAAGTTTTTAGGATGGGGTGAACTTCCCAGAGATGGCCTTGCTGGTCACACCAGGTCTGTTCATGTCAGAAAATCCCCAGCTTCCTCTCCCCACAATAGGACATCTCACCCGACAGGTGTCCAGCTCTGGCTCCAGGCCAGGGCATCTGGAGAATTCCCTGGTGCAACCCATCACCAAAACCACCCCCTGCCTTCCTCACCCGTTTTGGACTCCTGCTCCAGCAGCATTGATAGGAGCTCCTCCGTTTGCATAGCAACCTCTGTGGACGGCGCGTTTAGCCTTATGTAGTCCACCAGCCTCTTCACGGTGGCCATGTCCGGATAGTCACAGAAGTCCTGGGGGTGTTTTCTGAGCCACAACGACAGAAACCACAATATAGCACTGCAAGGAGGAGCAGGTTGGCGGGAAGTAGAGTCAGAAGCAAGGCCTTTCCTCACCAGCACATCACTGGTCCCTCAGTTGAGGAAAATGCTAAGCAGCCCACCTGTTGCTGGGCATGGTGGTCAGGAGTGAGGGGCTGTATGGAGAGGGCTCTAGATGCTTTCTGTACCTTAGAGGACTGACTGGGCAAACTGGGCTGAGCTGTGGTGAGGATGAATTCCTCTAGGGCCCTTGAAGTTTCATCCATTCGTATGTCCCTCAGAACCAAAGGGATCGTTGGAGGTCTCTGTTTTTCTACACCTACACATGAAGTCTCTGATACCATTCTCTATGGGGATCCCGAGAGGAGGGTGACTGGTAATGGTTTAGCTCTCAACACTAGCCACCAAACATTCCACTCCACAGATGGGTTCTTACCTCCCTCTTCACCCAAGCACACTCACGTCTTCTTTTCCTGATCCTCCACACAGTCAGGATGGAAAGATCCGTACCTATGGCATTTCACGAGGGTGTCACTAAGTTCATGTGTCCCCAACCTGATGTGGGAGTGTCATATATCAATCTGTTGATTTCATTGGTTAAGTTATAATAAACCAGCTGCTTGGCCTCATGGCTTGGAACATAGATGGGAGTAAACAGAATAGAATTCTGGGCAGAAGAGGAAGTGAGGTCAGACTCTGCTCTGCTCGCGGAGAGACCCGACAGCTCTGCTGGAGCAGAGATGCCATGCTCAACTCTCCCAGGATGGACAGAGGCTAGAATCTTCCCGGTAAGCGCACCTTGGGGTGCTTACACACATCATTAGAAATGGGCTAGTCCAGGTGCGAGAATTAGCCTGTAAGGGCTAGAGTTCATGGGCCAAGCAGTTCTTAAATGAATACAGTTTGCGTGTTGTTATTTCGGGCATGAGCTAGCCAAGCGGCCGGGGTGTTGGGGACGCAGCCCTGCCGCTCCTATTTCAACACCAACCCACCAAGAGATCTGGAGGGAGCTACTCAAATCTGATGTAGGAAGAGAAGCCAGGAAAGGGACGAGGGTGCTGAGGGCTCTTTTCCACTGTTCTGACTTCAGTGCTGAGGGTCTAGGAATGAGCCTCTGGTCACAGCTATTCAAGGATCTCCACACAAGAGGTGAAACCTCAGCTGCTCCCTGCTAGGTCTCTTGGTTTCTAGGTTTTCTTGCTAGGACTTCTTGGGTGCCCCCTGGGACTCTTGCCTGGCGCCATTCATCCCATCAAACCTAGATAGTGTCTAGAACCTTGGATACAAATGGGGAAAAGGCTCTGCTCAAGGCATGAGATTGGATAGTGTTCGACACTTCGTGGGGAAAGTGAATGACACAGTCTAGAGTTGTCTCCCCCACCCCCATCTCTGGTCATGCCACTTTGAAGCTCCAGGCCCAGGACCAATGATGTCACGGTATAATCTTACTTGTCCTAAAGGAGCATACAGTCCCAGAGAAGAGTAGCACCATCCTACAACCAAACCAGGAGGCTTGAGAGCTTGTCCGTGTGTGTAGCCACTCACATTTTAATTATCAGGTCCAGCACCTCCCAGGTGGTAGAAAATTTTTGGTAGATGGCCAAAAATAGATATATGCACGCCGTGTCCTGTTGCTTGAAGGCTCTTGGTAAAGAGCTAATGAATATTCCCAGGTAGTCTGGGCTGTTGGTATTGAACGTGAGGGGTTTATCCCGCACCTTTTGATTCTGAGGCAAGAACAAAGAAGGAAGGAGGTTTAAATGTGAAAACTCAGAGACATTAACAACCCATTACCACACATTGAAGTGAAAAGTGGCCATGAAGAATGTTCCTCAGTGTTTTCTCAGGAACACACACCTCGTCAGGGACAAGGGGGACCAGAAAGGTTTCCTGCCAACAGGCTGGCTTGTGTTACCTTGGCTTCCATGAGGGAAAATGGCCAGAGGTGTTGAATAAATGGCCACACCCAACATCTCAAAAGGTGGCCAAGGCCACGACTCTTGGCTTTTTGGTGACCTGAGTCATCAGAAGTCTGCACGCGGGAGAACATCCTGACTGCTCAAGTGCCTCCAGTGAAGAGAGTCAACTGAGGCTGTCCCTTGCCTCTGGTGACCTGGTAACCAGGATTCTGAGTTCCATCTGGATGTGGTTAAGGAAGTGAGGTCACTTCCTGGGGCCCTCCAGCCTGAGGCTCCATCACATAGGTCTCTCTATTTCTGACCAGGGCTGCCAGCTTCTGTCCTTCTGCCTTTCCATGTGCACAGTGGGTCACAGTGGTGTCCATATGCTCAAGCCACACATTGAACTGGGAATCCCGGCTTCAGCCAGACCCTCAGCTTTGAGAAGTCAGAAGAGATTTCAAACCATTCCTTTGATATCACATGGGTGCCAGAAAAAATAATTTCCTCTTAGGGTCTTCCCACTGTCCTGATGTGCTCCCTGTAGATCATTCTAGTGTTGATTCCTAGGATGTCATCATGTGGACATGATCACAGAAACCCTAGAGCTGGGCAACTCTATACCAGTGTCACCAGAGGTAAAGGCACAAACAGGGACATGTGCCCACGTCCTAACAGCCACACTCACAAGGGCACACAGAGAACCCATTTACAAAGGCCCAGTAGCATGTCAGTATAGAAAGGGCCATGCGTAGGTGGGCCTTAGGGTTTTTAGGTTTAGGTTAGGACTAGGGTAACAGACAGAAGCAAACTGCATGCACTCATGTTTATTTGTGCCTTTCACTTAGAGGACCAGTCTGGGCTCCTCTCCTTTTCTATGATTTCTAGTGTTGGCTCCCTTTGGTCTTCCACAGGCAGCAGTGTGCCTCTTCTGCATCCCCAGGTGTTGATATCTGGGTTCTGGTTTACACCAACCATGTCAACACCTCCACCAGCATTCCTTATTCCAAGGGAAAAGTACACAGTAACTTTAAGACTTTGGTAAAAGTTTCTGTATCTTCATTCTTTCATTACAAGTTTAAAATTCATTCATATTTAAGTTTCAGGTTTGTTGAAGGAAAATGAGAAACTGAAAAATTCAATGCAAAAAAACAGAAGGAAGAAAAAACCATAAAGAGCAGAGAAAGGATATTTAGTTCAAGTGGCCGTGTTGGGAAGAGGAACTGTGGTTCAGTGACACCA